ATCACCATTAATTTTTTTAAATCTAATAATTAGTTTATGCACGAGGAGTGAGTTATTCCACTATAATTCATAGGCTGATGTCATTATGCACCACCTGATATAGCAACACAGCCTAAGTATCTCTTATGTATCGTAGGAATGTCTAGCGTGGTGCAACCAGACTTTCCCAGGCTCATGCCATTTGGTACTCGAAGAGACTATGGCCATGTTTGGTTGGGCTTTTGGCTTTGGTTTTTGGCCCCAAAAGCCAAAAGCCCAACCAAATGGGCTGTTTTTGGAGGGTGCTTTTTCAGAAGCAGCAGCTTTTCCGTAGTTCATTTTTGAAAGCTGGTTTGACTCTGCTTTTGGCTTTTGGCTTTCTGTTTTTCAAAATTGGTGGAATAAAAAGCTCTTCCATAGTTGTTTCAAGAGAGATAAAGATAAAAGGTATATTTTATACTTGTTTAAACAAACAGCTTTCAGCTTTTCTACAGCTCACAGCCCACAGCAGCTTTTCCACAGCTCACAGCCCACATCAGCTTTTTCCCACAGCCACAGCCCAACCAAACAGGGCCTATGTCACATGGGCCAGAAATGTTGAGAGTTATTTAGTGCAGAATAATCTCAGCGACACAATTGTCTCAGGCACCAAGTGCAGTAATCAGCAGAAGGCACAGGCTTTGTTTTACATCAGCCGCCATCTGAACGAAGATTTCAAAAACGAGTATATGCTCGAACGGGATCCACTTGTTATATGGCAATCTTTGAAGGATCACTTTGATAGGATGAAGGCGGTAGAGCTACCAGGAGCGAAGCTGGACTGGGACAGCCTGCATTTCGGCAATTTTGACTCTGTGACTGCATATGATTCGGCTCTGCGACGCACAGTCTCTCAACTCAAGCTCTGTGACAAAGAAATCACAGATGAAGAAATGATCAGCGTATCCGCCATCAGCTGCATAGGATGGCAAACTATGGCAAATACTCGGAGCTGATGTTCGCGTTATTGCAGGAGAGACAGGAGGAGAGAGACCGTCAGGAGCTCATGAGAAATCAAAATGTCAAACCAGCCCAGAGGGTGTCTTTCAAAAGGAAGAGAAGACGGGGTCAAAGTGGGAGGTTGAATTGAGTGGCATATCGTCGCTTAGCCCGGGACCTGTTAAGAACTATATCTTTTGGTCGTCTGTCCATGTCAGACCTACGTATTCTTCAGTCATCGATTTCATGTTTGCTTGTTGAACCCCATATATCGAGTGTCTCATTCATGTAATTGTTAAGCCACATTTGGAATGCTAAGTTAACAATTCTGAACAAATCTCAGTTTTCAATAATTCAAGGGTATGCTAAGTCAGATCAATGTATGCTACTTCAGTCATCGATTCCATGTTTACTTGTCAAAACTCAAAACCCATATATCGATTGTCTCGTTCATGTATTTTTCAAGCCACATTTGGACTATTCAGTTAAGAATTCTGAACAAATTCCAGTTTCCAAAAATGGAATTAGAGTGTTTGGTTAACAGTCCACTGTATAAAAAATCGTGAATCCTATGCACACATATATATTAGTAACTGTATATATATACAACTATGGTATTGGTATCGTCAAAGAGTGCTGCACTTGGCCGGAGCAAACGACAGCATCTCCTTCCGGACGTCGTAGAGGATGTGCATGTTCTGCTGCTGGTAGTTTCCGAACGTGCTCATGGCGCCGTCCGTCTGGTTCCGCATGGCCAGGCACCACACGCCGGATCCCGAGATCATGTAGCTGTCCGCGGGGAGCACCATGTCCGCGCCGTCAAAGTGGAGCGTCATGCTCGGCATGGCCGGTGGCGCCGACGTCGGAGTCGGCAGCGCGAAGCACAGGTCGAGCCCCGTGGAGTCCGACCCGTCGGTCGTGGGCAGCGTCACTAGGGACTGCACCGCGGCGCGGACCTGCTGGTACGCGGCGTTCACCAGCGAGGTGATGGTCGTGCCGGAGTCGATGATGAGGCCGCCTGTGCCGTCGGCTTTCAGGGAGAAGGCGTTCGAAGAAATGGGCAGCGCCTTCGTGCCGAAGGATATGCCGGTGAGGTTGAGGTAGTAGTAGGTGCTCATGGGCGCCTTGGCCGGGCTAGCGACAAACGGCGTGGAGCGGACGCCGGTGCCGTTGAGCGCCGCCGACGGGCCGAGGAGGAGCGTGCTGGTGCTGTTGGTGTCCTGGAACGGCGTGAGGCAGTAGGAAAACCTGCCGGCGCCGAGCTGCGACACGAGCGACAGTCTGCCCCTGCCCAGGCCGACGAGCCCCGCCGAGCCGTTCCAGTCGCTGCTGCTGGCGTTGCTGCAGCCGAAGGCGATGCCGGGGACGCGGGCCTGGTCGGCGGCCGCCGAGCCGAAGGTGAAGGTCTCGGAGCCCTGCACGCCCGCCGTCCACCCGGTGCCGTACGTCTGGTTGTACATGCAGGCGCACCCGGGCGGCGGCGCCGCCCCCGCCAGCGCCCCCGCGCACATGCTCAGGGAGCTGTTGCACGGGAGCACGCCGAACGTGGTGGAGCTCGCCGGGTTGTACAGCGGCGCCGACTGCGCGAAGCACTGGGCGCCGCAGGGCGCGCACTGCGTCCAGATGAGGTCGCTGCCCGTGTCGGCGATGGCCGGGTACGACAGCGGCGGCGTGCCGATGGCTAGCGTCATCAGGTACTCCCCGCCGTTGGGCAGGTCCTTGCGGGTTCGCGCGGACACCGTGGTGCGCCCGCCGTCGGACTCGGACTCTGCGAGCTCGCGGCCGAAAAACCGGGACTGCTGCCGGCGCATGTCGCGGCGCAGTGCGTCGCGCACGAACTCGGGCGCGGTAATGTCGGGGTCGGAGTGGATGCGCGTGAGCCCGACGCGGACGCTGGTGGCGCCGGAGGCAAGCGTCGCGCAAACCACCAGGAAGACGAGCACGGCGAGCGACGCCATTTGTGATGTCGATGACAACATTGATCTAGTGATGACAAGCTAGGAGCATGCAAGACGTGGTGGCTGGAATGATTATGCAAGAATGGAATGGCATCGAGAAATGTGAGCATCATATAAGGTGATCATGGATGACCTGTGGCTTGCTTGATCTAAGCTAGCCTCTAAGGCTCTAATACCTGGTCAGAGCCGCCATCTTGTGCTGGTCTCAGTTGGTGAGTTGCCTGGAAGAGATGGAACAGTCTGCAGCTCTAGCAATTGTTGTCGTGCTCACGCCAAGAAGGTGTCGCCTACGGTTGTATGGGCGCTGAATTTTTAAGGGATTAGGTGACCTATTTGTTCGGCGTGCGGGCAATAAGTGTTCAAACATGGTTCTACTAAATTGAACGGGGCCTGTGGTCGTTGGATAATTGTTAGGCACTTTTTGAGGAAGCAGCAGCAGCCGTCGTGGTCCAAAAGCAGGTCAGATGCAGGAAATTGACTGAATCAGAAGAACGTAGGCGAAGAACCGTGTGCAGGTATCGACTGCAAATTTTTCCACCTCTGTTGGTACTAACTGAGATCAGCAGCAGCAATCGGAACATGGAGATGGAGAAAAAAAAAGATGAGGGTTGCAATGAAGTAAGATAAAGTAAAGTAGGATGAATGCTTATTTCTTCAAAGAAAACAGCTATTTTGGTTTAGTGATTTTTATTTATTTATTTCTAACCCATGTAAATGTACTACTACTACGGTACTACCTTATCCTTCTCCAAACAATACCATTGACCCTCTTTTTTCATGTCATGGCACGTGTGCTGTGACCACATAGGCTGTCCGCTGTCATGCTGAGGCCAGGCGTGACAAAGTATGGTAGGCGTGACAAATTGAGTTCTATCTCTGAATTAGTTGATCTAAAAAATCTAATGCAACCACATTAGTTGTTCCTGGTGATCTCAACCTAATTTGCTGAGCCAAGGATAAAATTAATGGACGTATCAACATGCAAATGATACATGAGAAACTTCCTGTTAACGTATAACGGAATGGCACGAAGTCTTTTCGATCCCAATACCGATCTACAGGTGATTGCTTATTTGAGTTCTACCACTGCCTATGCTTGGCGATAGAATATGACTTTTATGGAGGCTTCAGATTAAAACGAGGAGATGGAACTATGACACTACCTTAAACAAGATCGTCCCTTGTATTGGGATCAATAGAATGGCCGAGAGCACACCAAGATCCAAGAATAAATAACATGGATACGCAAGGGTAACACAACCTTCCTTTTTTTCAATTACACGGCAATGCCAGATGGGGAAAAAACATTACATAAGAAGCTAGTGGTGGAGGGAGTGGGAACCCTAAGTCAGTGTAATTTTCATTGGAAAATTTAGTTTTGATCAATTTTTTATACAATTTACATTGGACCCTTGTCAACTATATGGTCCCTGGCTATCCTTACCGAAGATAAAAAAAACCAATGCCATGGAAGGGAGTGGGGGCGGATCCAACTGATCAGAGGAAAAATTAAAACAGATAAGGGGTATACATAGAAACCACTGTCTATTTAACCAACTTGTAACTCAATTGGGGCATCATTCTATTTGTAACCCTATCCCCGAACTACACTATCTCTCTAATCTAATGCACATGATTCGTTGATTACTCATCATCGTCGGAGGTTAAAAAATATCGACAATTGGCACACCAGGTAGGAGAACATTGGGTGCAGATTCGTTTAAATAAGTCGGATGGGTTTCTTCGATAATGGCATTGACGACTTAGCTCTAGGCAGCACCATCGCCTTCGGCATAGTATGGACTTCACCGCTGACTTGTTGGGGTAACTTTGCATTGCCCCCACCTTTGTTAGCATCCAGGCTTTCCAATTCAGAAGCCTAGATTTCATGGTAGATGGATTTGCTAAACTCCACCTCTATGATTCATATTTGATTTTTGTTGGCAGAGGAATTGCCACATGCCCTTCCTGAGTACCCCGTCGGGCTCAGGAACACGGCCCCGCACCATCCAAGACAATCTTCTCCAGATGCATCTACACTTTGTCCCTAACTTCCACTCCATGTTTGTTGGCATGATTAGCCCGATGGCGGACGACATCACCAAGTTTGACATCGCTAATTTTAACCATTTTGGGATCCTCGCCAGGTTCTTCGACTACTTCCACATGTAGTTCTGCATCCAATAATGAAAGCATGACAAGTACCAACCATCTCAAGAGTGCTACCTGGCGGACACGAGACACCCCACAACGACTGGAGGGGCCTCAAGAGTACCCTGTCGGGCTCGGGAACACGGCCCCGCACCATCCAAGATGAGCTTCTCCATAAGATGCATCTACACTTTGTCCCTGACTTCCACTACATGTTTGTTGGCATGATTAGCCTAATGGCAGATGACATCACCAAGTTCAACATCGCTGATCTTACCCACTTCCGGATCCTTGGCAATTTCTTCGGCTACTCCACCTGTAGTTCCGCCTAAGATAATGAAAGCATGAGAAGCTACCAGCCGTCTCAGGAGTGATACATGGCGGACACCCCCACAATGACTGGAGGGCCCTCAAGAGTACCATGAGTACCTCCGTGGACAGTTCAAACGCCTCAGGGATCAACAAGCGTACCTCGAAATGGAGAGGCACCAACTTGTTGAGGAACAAGCAAGAATTAGATTATCATAGTTTTGCTTAGGGTGAAGGTTATCAAAGTTTACTGTACATAGAGAAGGGAATATGTTTGAATGGGCACTACTCAAGATAAGAAGGTGCATTGATGTGGATTTACAATGGTCATGCCACTGTTGTAGAGAACGCCGCCGAGGAACATCTTATCGAGAGGGATGATGCAAGAGGGTTTTAGAGAAAAGGTTATGACCAAGACATCCAAGGATGGTGATATGTTGGTTAGGCTCATGTCACGAGCTCAGCAGTGTTGGAGTTTGACCGAATTAATAGGACGGGCTAGTCGTAACTGAGCTCTAACCCCCCCCCCCCTGATAAACAGTACCAAAACTATTATTTACTTAATGCTGATTAAGTTGAGTAAGGAGGGCCATGGTCCATCTTGGCCTCAACCAAGATCCACACCTGGGCTTGGGCTTCTCGGGCTGACCTAAGGTAGAAGGCATGTTTTACAAGGATTTAACAAAAAGTTTAATAAGATTGTATTTTTTGGGTCATTACACAGGTATCACTTTAGATACAATTTTATATTTCAACTAAAACATTATGACATTTATATTGATAGTATTGTTATACTATTTTCTTTTATAAAAAAGTACCACTACACATGTAATTCTTGATAAGACAATTCAATATCTTGAGCCACGAAGGAGGTTAGTGCACACCAAAATTGACTATGATCTCCCAAGTTTTTGAGATTTGTCTTAATTATAATATTCTCGTAATTATAAGACCTAGGCCTAGTTTTAGATCTCACTTTAAACTATATGCTATCTTGAGCATTGTGGTGCATCCTTAAACGAGAGTTTTGATAAACAGTACAATATGCACAAGAGTTTGAATTTAAATTTGAAACAAAAAATTGCACAAACAAGGTATCAACTAAATTCATCTAGGAGGCACACGTAAGTGCTCAGCAGAGAGAGAGAGAGAGAGAGAGAGAGAGAGAGAGGAAAAATATGGACATGGATGAAATAACATATACAATAGGTGATAAGTTTATTACAAAAAAATTGGATAGAGGTTATAAAGTATTTATATGGATACTGCGTTAGAAGATAAATAGAGAGGACATGCAAAGATAAATAATTTTGTTTCTTGTAGGTATTGAAAATGAATTTGTGATGCTTATATGCTCCTGAGAAGTGCATTTCAAATGAAGAATAAAACCCTGACAAAAAAATGAAGAATGAAGTACATCGATCCCAAAGGAAAAAATATCTCCTGCTTTATTTACAACACAACTCTAGTACACGCCCTAAAAATTCCTTTTCCTAAAACAAAAAATAAATATCAAACTAAACCACAACTAGACTGTCACAAGGGAAATAGCACTGCGCCCAGCCGACAAGTCAATGCTATATGTATCTATTGCTTGTGGTAGTCTAGTTCGAATTTCAGCATTTGAATTGGAATAGGATTTCCATAAAAAAAATTGAAACAGATTTCTTGACGGCCCATTATTACATATATAACAAAACTCAAAAGATAAATCATCATGAAACCTATGCACACACATGTTTGCAGTTCTGTAAAGCTCTGATCAGAGCGTGCTGCACTTGGCCGGAGCAAACGACAATGTCTCCTGCCCAACGTCGTAGAGGATGTGCATGTTCTGCTGCTGGTAGTTGCCGAGAATGCTTAACCCGCCGTCGGTCTGGTTCTGCATGGCCAGGCACCACAAGCCGGAGTCCGACATCATGTAGCTCTCCGCCGGGAGCACCATGTCCGCGCCGTCGAAGTGGAGCGTCATGCTCGGCATGGCCGGCGGCGACGACGTTGAGGACGGCAGCTCGAAGCACAGGTCGAGCCCCGTGGCTGCCGACCCGTCTGTCGTGGCCAGCGTCACCAGGGAGACGACCGCGGCGCGGACCTGCTGGTACGCCGTGTTTCCCAGTAATGTGATGGTGGTGCCAGAGTCGATGATGAAGCCGCCGGTGCCATCTGCCTTCAGCGAGAGGGCGTTGGGCGGGATGGACAGTGCCGTCGTGCCGAGGGATATGCCGGTGAGGTTGAGATAGTAGTAGGTGCTCATGGGCGCACTGGAAGGGCTGGCGACGAAAGGCGTGGAGCTGACGCCGGTGTCGTTGAGCGACGCCGACGGCCCGAGGAGGAGCGTGCTGGTGCTGTTGGTGTCCTGGTACGGCGTGAGGCAGTAGGAGAACTTGGGGACGCCGAGCTGGGAGACGAGCGACAGGCTCCCCCTGCCCAGCCCGACGAGGCCGGACGCCGACGAGGTGTTGAAGCCGCCGCTCGCGTTGCTGCATCCGAAGGCGATGCCGGGACGCGGGCCTGGTTAGCCGGCGTGGACGACCTGAACGTGAAGGTCTCGGACCCTCGAAGACATACGTCCACCCGCTGCCGTACGTCTGGTTGTACATGCAGACGCACCCAGGCGGCGGCGCCGCCCCCGCCAGCGCCGCCGCGCACCTGCTCAGGGAGCTGTTGCACGGGAGCACGCCGAACGTGGTGGAGCTGGACGGGTTGTACAGCGGCGTCGGCTGCTGGAAGCACTGGGAGCTGCAGGGCGCGCACTGCGTCCAGATGAGGTCGCTGCCCGTGTCGGCGATGGCCTGGTACGACTGCGGCGGCGTGCCGATGGCCAGCGTCATCAGGTACTCCCCGGCAGTGGGCGCGATCTGGGTCGGCGCGGACACCGTGCCGTCGGACGACGCGGCTAGCTGCCGGGCGTTGTGCCGGTGCATGTCGCGGCGCAGGGCGTCGCGGACGAACTGGGACGCGGTCACGCTGGGGTCGGCGTGGATGCGCGTGAGCTCCACGCGGACGGCCGCGGCATCGGAGGCAAGCGCTGCGCAGACGAGGGAAACGAGAATAGCGAGCGAAGCCATTTGCGTCGGTGATGACATGGAATGGAATGATGGAAAGCGAGCTAGAAGCTGCAGGAGACCAGGAGTATACAATAATGGCGTTGGAACGTTCGCGTTTATAAGCTGGTGAGATCATGCTCGGCGTCGTGGCGGCTAGCTCTAACACGACGGTAATGTTGACCTGGTCAGAGCACGGCATCTTTGTGCCGGTATGATTTGGTGAATGAATTTGCCTGGAAGAGCCGAAGCAGTTTGCGACTCGGCTTTACATTGTCCTGCGGCCATCGTTGTCACTCTCAACATCAACACGGTGGCTTCTACGGTTTCATGGGCGTTGAATTTCAAAGGGATTAGCCGATTAGGAGCGGTATTTGGTCGCCATCCAGGCCAAAAAAAGTCATGCCTGTACGAGTGATCGAAGTACGTACACACAGGTGTGTCAACAATTCTCAACCGACAACGGCAAGCTAGGAGCATAGGACGCCCCCTTGGAAGAAAGCTCTGTACGCCCAGATGAACCTATCGGGGACGACATCAGGACGCGGTCACAAATTCTCCACGAATTTGAACGTGATCAGGACGTGCCTGAAATATTATCCTCTCCCACTGTCGTTCACTCGTTTGTGAAGGGCTTCCTTGATCGCTCACCGACCAGCTCCCAGCCCGCCCACGGATTAGCGGTCCCAAGCGTAACACCTGGACGGTGAATCCAATGCGCGCAGAGGCACATACCAACAGAATCTCCCTTCCGCCCCCGGACCGACCTAGCCTGCCCTTTCTGCGTTTCCTTCTAAATCGCACCATGACAATAAATTCCGAAATTTTCAATATATCCCATTTATCGTTTGGGCCCGAAATTTTTACTCTATCACCCGAAATTTTTAGAATTTCAAAATTTGTCTGCCCAAATAGACAACAAAGCTCACCCAATGCTCTATTCTTAATCAATGTTTCATTTTCTCTCCTCTTCTCTTCAAGGTTCAAGTTGCCACCACCGTAACACACTTGCATGCTCCAGCCGCGTCGCTGCCCTCCTCTTTGAATGGGCAATTGATAATATGGTTTTATTTAGTTTTTTATGTTAAATGCATTAGAAATGATCTATGTGTTTTCCTAAACAAAATGTGCTATTTTTGTTTAAATTTTTTCTATCACGGATAGAATTCCAATATATCCTATATTTATGTTTATCCGTGACCACCTAGATTTAAAAAATATCGGTAGAGTAAACCTTGAATCGCACACGCGCCAACTCTGTCAACCATGCGTAGAAGCGACACCGAACCATCGGAACAGCCTCTCCATGCGCTAGCTGTTTGCAGTCTCGCTAGCCGTTTCCTCCTACTCAAACAGCAACGCCGGATTCTACTTCTCGATCACGTTGCTCACCTGCCCCTCCTCCTCCTCCTGCTCTTCTCGATCACGCTGCTCACGTGACGGCGCGACGTGGATGGACTCGTCCAAGCTCAGCGGTGCATGAGGACCGTGGATTGGTGCAGCGCCGCGGAGCTACAACCAGCCACAAGAATGTCTGCGCGCGCTGCGGTCATGCATGCCCAGCCTTGACCGCACCAAGATGGCCATCGTGGCAACGGGCCATTCGTTGCACTCCACCGGAGAGGACATCGTGGCAGTAGGTCGTTCGTTGCAGACCCCCGGAGAGGCCATCGTGGCAGCGGGCCTCTCGTTGCAGGCCACCGGAGCAAGCGGGGATGAGGGGATATGGATGATCAACGCCCACAATGAACATATGAACAATTAACATGAACATCCAATGCCAGCACTTGTTGGGGTTGGGGGTAAGGGCGGCTGCGCCTACACCCTTCCACGTTAAAAGGCCCAAGGTCCAAGAGGTCTAAGGACCTCAGTATAATTTGCAAACCAAAAAGGGTAGAGAGAAAGGTTGCTCCTCCCACATCCCCTATAAATAGAGTCAAAGGCGCAAGGGCAAAAGGGTTCCCCTCGTTCTCCAAAAA